AATCGATTAAATTGTTGATCTGTCCATTTCGGAGGATTCTTTTTTAAACGATCATATAATGGTTTAGCAATGATAGCAAAATCTTTTATGAAATCAGAAATATAATTTAGACATCCTAAAAATCATTGCAATGCAACTTTATTAAGAATAATATCAGGAAATTCGTTAGAAAATTCAATGGCTCGATCAATGGGAATAATCGTGCCTTGGAATATATGATGACCTAATTATCTTATTTTGGTTTGGCAAATATTCATTTTCTTTGCAGAAACTACAAGTCCTGCATTTTTTACAGTATTAGAAAATCCAATGGCCCGATCAATGGGAATAATCGTGCCTTGGAATATATGATGACCTAAGAATCTTATTTTGGTTTGGCAAAGATTCATTTTCTTTGCAGAAACTACAAGTCCTGCATTTTTCACAGTATTGAGAAATATATTTAGATGTTTAAAGTGTTGATGAATAACAGTTGAAAAAATAAGAACATCATCAATATAAACTAGCATATATGTCATATAAGAGTTAAAAACTTCATTAATAATTTTCTGGAATTCAGATGGTGCATTTTTCAGACCGAATGGCATTACATTCCATTCATATTGACCAAATGGAACATGTTCTTCTTTCATTTGAAATCTTTCTTTATTAATTAGAAGAGGAGGTTTAAATAATATTGCTTTTTTCTTTTCTTCAAGTTTTTCTTGCGGTTGTCGGATAATATTTTCTATTCTGGTAGTCTGTTTCCCTATAGTTTGTAAATATAAATTTGTATAATTATTTTGCTCTAATAGATGAGGTAATAGTTCTATTTTATGATAATGTTCTCCAGAAAGTGTTTTATATGGAGTGGCTATAGTTTCTAATTCTTCTTGCTTATCTTTTCCTTAGATTTTTATACTTTCTTCAAGAGGATGAATACTTTGAATTTGTTTCTTTTGATCTGTAATATATATTTGATATTGATTTTCAAGGGTATGAAGTTTATTGAATTCAGGGATTTTAGCTCTTTTTAAAATTAATGTAGTTTTAAGCCATTCAAAAAATCCTAGGTTTATTTTTTCTTTTTTCAAGAATCGATTATAATTTTTATGAGTCGTGTATTGATTTGGAATAATATTTTGAAGAGTTTTAATTGTTGGATTTGAAGTTTGACTTTTCCATTCTTGTGGAAGTTGTATTTGTGACCACTGTATTGTTTTAGGGATAACAACATTTGATCTGTCAGTATCATCTTGGTCATGGGCTCCAGAGACCTTGCATACAGTGGCATTCATGGTCATGTGTTTCATTGTATCAAGAATCTGAAGTTCAGACATTCTGTCTATATTCCAATTAACAATAGTTCTTCCTGAATAGGATACAGTATGGGATATAAGGTCTTCTTCAAATTGTATATCAACTGGAGTCGGTCTAGGATGGTACATTCTAGTTTGAGATGTGATTCGCATTTTTTTACCATAATCTATTCGGTTGACATTATCTTCTTGAGTAAAAGCATTTTTTATATTAGAAAAAGTATTCGGAATTTCAGGTATTTCTTGTATTACCATAGCTGCTGGTTCTGTAATTGTTAACGACTCTTGAATTTTTGTTTTTCCTCTATCCTGGATATCTAGATTCGATATCTTGGTAATTAATTGTTGTATTAGTTCAGAAGGATGTTCTTCTTTCATTTGAAATCTTTCTTTATTAATTAGAGGAGGAGGTTTAAATAATATTGCTTTTTTCTTTTCTTCAATTTTTTCTTACGGTTGTCGGATAATATTTTCTATTCTGGTAGTCTGTTTCCCTATAGTTTGTAAATATAAATTTGTATAATTATTTTGCTCTAATAGATGAGGTAATAGTTCTATTTTATGATAATGTTCTCCAGGAAGTGTTTTATATGGAGTGGCTATAGTTTCTAATTCTTCTTGCTTATTTAAGTGAGAACAATAAAGACTTTCGAAATTGGTACTTATCTACATTCTCAAAAGAATTAATACACATGACTCATAAAAAATATAATCGATGCTTAAAAAAAGAAAAAATAAACCTAGGATTTTTTGAATGGCTTAAAACTACATTACTTTCAAAAGGAGCTAAAATCCCTGAATTCAATAAACTTCATACCCTTGAAAATCAATAAAAAATATATATTACAAATCAAAAACACTTATCCACCTTTATCTCCAACAAGATCAATCAATTACCCAGAATATTCATTTCAACCAAAATCCACTCCAGTTTTAACTCCTGCATCTAGCCCCAATAAATCCAACAACCCAAATAAATAAGTATTCGAAGAAACTGCTTTTATGGTAGATATTACCATTGATGACAAGTATATCCATATAGACCCAAATAAATTAGCCCCTCTATATTACAAAACCACCTCTATCCTTCAAACGGCAACAAGACCAGAGAATGGTACGAAGCTGTTCTCTTAGAAACTGGATCTATATCAATAGTTCATTTTTTCAATCCCAATACAAAAATAATTGGATATTCGAAAATACAGATACGAAAATTATTATCATATGATGATTGGGGATGTAGCCAATCCCAAGGCCGGAACTTCAAGCTCCTGAATTTCAATATAAATCATATCGATATACTGAATATATAGATGCATGGCATAAAGTATTTTCATATAAAAACCTAAATAATTCTCATACATGGTTTATTCAAATAAAAATGCCTGTGTTTGAAAGGTTCCCTAGTTGGTTCCGTTACTGGTTTCTAATCTGGGGATCTGGAACTCAGATATTGCCAGATCCATTTAAGAAAGCTCAAAGAGCATTTGCTGAATACAATGGAGTTGATAATTTTGAATATATACCTCGTTTGGGAAAAAGAATATCGATTCGATGGTGGGATGTTTTTAGCATGGATCCAAATATGATAAAACCCAAAAGAATACCTCTTGTTACGCATGAACATCAAAATACTCCTAAATTTGACCCAAATACTTTCGTCGAATATATAAGACAGATGCGAAAACAATACCCCAGAGCTACTAAAGACGAATTGGAAATCAGCTATTAAAGATTATTCAAGAAGAAACTTTTGAAGCAACCTCTTCTCCATCCGAGCCTGATGAAGACTTTAGCCAAAGGTCCGAATAGCCCGGCTCATCAACTTGTACAAAACACCAGCCAGCTGTATATTCATCTAGAAAATGCCACCTGTACAGCTATCCAGCAGAATCTACAAAAAGACAAAAAGAAATAAAGAAGACAGATGGCATCTGCCGTACAACAAAAGATGCTCTCCGTACTTTATTGGCCGACAGACAATATTCTTACTTTAAGTCAAGTCATGTAAAAAGTAACTTTTACTTTTTTTTTATGTCATATCAACCTTTATCTTTAAGTCACCTCTGACTTTAAAGATTCCTCTTATCTGCTTTACCTCTACGTACAATGCCAGCGCACCCCTTGCTTTTCCAACTTTTCTCTGCGAATGTGATAACAGCTCACAACTCCACCAAAAAGATTCCTTTATGTCCTTT